CATGTCTTGCTTCTCAATCAAGTCACAGACAAAATGTGTGATGCAAGCTGCCTGGGTCCACAGACTCAGTATCCATCTTTTAGTGAAACAGAATATTCACCTAGTTATACTGGATCAGATTGTTCTCAACTTGAAATGGAACTGAAAAGTGAGCGACAAGTTCCATCTGGAAGAAGACACGGTGATTAAGGGATTGTAAATCCTTCCTGACAGCAGCGGAAACCCTGTGTTTCACCGAGGCTACTTCTGCATCCCACCAATGATGCAGATACCACTGGCTGAAATCTATTGATATAGACCTATTCCAGTCTGGGATCAGGACTAACTTGGGGTTCAAACTGCACACGCTTGCCAGGATTGATTACCTTTATTGAGAGAAGAGGAGGAAGTGCCACGTTGCTCCTTTTCCCCTATCTCTCCATCACTTTAGATACCATTACCAAGTATCTTCCGGCCACACTGCCTGTGGGATTCTGAGTGCTGTAGCAAGAAGACTACAAGTCTTCTTCTTCTGTAGCAAGAAGAGTGTTCAACAGGCCACATTCACTCTTCACAGGCTCTCTGTTTAGATAAAGCAAGACCCTCTCCTGCCGTTTCTTATCCTGTCCCTCTACTCCAGCATGAATAAAAAGAAAGAAAGAACTGCCGCTTAGTAAGTCACGTCTACATTTGTGGAGTCTGGCCCTCAGGCTGGCTTGAGTACACACCTGTCACTTTGAAGCCACAAGGAAGGGCAGGTGAACTAACAGTGACAAGGCAAGCTCTGCCCACAGGTAACAGCTGCAATGTTCGATTTATGCTTTCTGTCTAGGACAAGCATCTTATTTTTTTATTGTGCAATAAATTTCAGAACGGGGGCAGTTTGACTTTCAGCAAAATGCTTCATTTTTAAAACAGGAGACTAGTCTCATTACTACAAACATGTTCTGGCTTTGCAGCACAGAAAAAGCAAAGCAGCTGCAGACTTGCCTTGAAATTGAGCAATGAAAAGGAAAAAACCCAGTGTGGGAAGAACACCTGACCTTCCTAGGCTGGAACAGAAGTGGCTAATTTGTGGCTTACAAATTGCACAGGATGCTACAGCAACAGGAAAGCGTATTTAGAGGCTCTTCACAGAAAACAAGGACGTCACTTGAGTTCATAAAATTTGTCCCTTGTTTCTTCACTCATAGGCACACATCAGGTTCAAAGGAGGTGGCACAGGGAAGCAGGATTTGGGAGGAGGAGAGCCATGATGGAAGAACTGGCAGGACGTCTGGAGAGGAGATGTAAATTTAATTCCCTGGCCTAGATTATTTGTTATATTCCCTCAGTCCTTCCCTTTAGTTGACAGCCAGCTGAAAACCTGGTTGGTTACTCTGACTACACTACATAGAACAACTTGAAGAAGGTTATTTTTCAGACTACAGTTCCAACTCTGCAGCTCACTAGGGATTCTGAAAACTGTAATCCAAAAGCATAACTTTTCCTGGCTCTGCTGCAGCAAATCCTAAGGGTTACTCCTGTGGGAAGCTTTTCATTTAAACTTCTAATCTAACCTCCATTTGTTTTACTCTTCATTCCTGCCTGCCTCTTGAAGTTCTGCTTGGTCAATCTCCTCATTTGTTTTAATTTTCTGGAGAATGGTTATGTGAGATACTGTCTGGAATTTGTCTGTTCCGCCTGAAATTCTTTATGAAATTCTTTAGGTTCTGTTCTGCTTGGATTTTCATTCTGTTCTGTATTTGGGAATCACACTGAATGTGCTTTGCAGTTTGTGTCCCGGGACCAGTTCTGGGGCTTCTTGAGACCCACTGAATTCCGCTCAATAATGAAGAAGAGCATGATCTCTCAAGCAGAGGTGCTAAGAATAAACCAAACACTATCAATTAATTTTTTTAAAAAATGCTGTCCTCTTTTACTGAAGAAATTTTGCTTACACAAATACAAATATAACTGCACTGCTAGCAAGTACTTTGGTCTTCAGTGCCACCTCTGGCTGCTGCATTCACTTCTTTCTACTCATTTAGAATACTTTCTTAGAGACACTGTTGACACACCAAACATCCCAAGCCCAGTAACGTTGTGTAAATTCCATTTTTGAACAATAAAATTGCACTCATTTTTCCTTACATCTCATTCGATATGACTCAGGAATATGTTAAACTAAAAGGTCAACAAGAGAGCTGTGCGGCCTCTATAGGATTTTTGCCTGGAACCCCACCTCACCCCCAGTCTTTTCACATCACCTGCCTAGATGTGCATGAGTAGAAGAAGGCCAAGCCTTACTCCATCCGGTCCTGATGCCTAATCTGGCCCACAGAGCGGTTCTCCACAAGACTGATCCCAGCCTGACCCCATCCCCTACAGACACATCCCTGTTGTGAGAAGATTCGCCTGCATCTTTCACCCTCCCAATCGGGAAGGCAAAGGACACACAGAGGAGTCCTGCTATTATCTCTGATCACTGACTGGAAATATCAGCGCTTTCTCAAACACCTGCGTGCCTCCCTCCAATTGCAAAACCCTGCTGGTTGAGGGGAGCACACTCCTGACAGCAGTTCAGAGATAACAGGGAAGATATCCTTTGTCTGCTCTGCATTATATCCAAAACAGGGAACAGACCAAATATTTGTGTGAGAATAGAAGCAAACAAATTCTTACAATGTTCTGAGCCATTCTATCAAGCACTTGTAACTGAGTGATGGCAAATGGTACTGTAAAAACAGACCACTGTAGTCTAGTATTTAGCACAACAGTTGCACAATATTCTTCTTCTTCTTCTCTTCATGCAACATTAGTGCCGATATTGCATCAAGTGTGGGTGTGAAAGATATTTAAGGATTTAAATCAGGATTGGGGATCACATGTCTTATCAAAAAAAACCCCAGCACAGCTAACATTTGCAGAGCTACACATGTCTTTACTCCTAAAATAAATTTTGGTCTCTTCACTTATTACTGGGAGCAGCTATCTGGTTGCCAAGAGTTATATCTTCCTTTTGCTTTTGCGTAAAAGAGAAATAATTATTCAGTTCTTTTTTCCTTATGTCTATGAACTTATTTATTTATTTATTTAATACCCTGCCTATCTGGTCATTACTGTTGTCTGCCACCTATATTCTGTATTTAATTTTTTTCCATAGAGTTGTTCTATAGTACTGATCTTAATTTTTAGAGATTATGTACATTGTCTTATGCTCATTTTTATTATTGGTGTGTCTGTATGTTCACATTATGTTATGTGTACGCCACCCAGAATAGTGGCCTTGCCACTAGTCGGGAGGGATAAAAGTATAATGACATAAATAACATATTCTATCTATATTTATGTATGCTGAACCCTGGTGGTGGTTCTTCCTTCTGCTCAGAATTGGGTTAGCTGCGGCACCCACACTGGGAGAAATACCTCACTTAGCATGTTGTTATACATAGATCCTGTTTACCTGACAAAGCTTTATGCAAGTAAGATGCATGCATTAATTAGTCCATACGTCAGCAATGCCCTCCTCCGTTTTCCATTTCATCCCATCATCCATCCTCCCCCGCTCGGCACTTTTCATGCAGTGTCTATTCTTATTTCTCTTGCAAAAAGAAAAAGCCAACAAAGCAAAAGAGACCCCTGCTGGAACAGATGCAAAACCTACTTCTAAACTGCCACATTTTACACCTCGTAACTCTCCTCGAACTTTGGAAAAACAATAAGTACACACACACACACACACACACACACACATTCCTCTCACCCTAGCTTCTAAACTTCTAAACTCAATGCATTAATATCTTAATTAGTTCACACAGCTCAGTACAGACAGAAAAAGGAAGAGGGAAGAAATAAATGTAACCAATATGTAAAATTTTCAAGAGGAATGGAGGCGGGGGGTGGGGGAGGGAGAGAGAAGTGATTTCAGGAATCTAGAAGCTACTAATCAGGGATGCCAAAATATAATGCTTTCTGGTTTTAAGAAGGAGATAAATGCCTTATGGATTAATGCATGTATCTTACTTGCCTTTAGAGTCTTGTCCAAATCCACAGGCATTTATCTTTGTAATACAGATTAATGAAACCAAGACAGTGGCTTCCTCTTCTATTTCTCCCTTGTAAATATTGGAATCACTTCTCCACATAAAGATAAATATTTTTAAAAAATTATGTTAAATATGTTGAGATCAGTAACTCACTTCAAAACATTTTTAAAGCAGAATTCAGTCACAACTTACTAAAAGAATGTGCTTGTGCACTGACTGGTCTCAAATAAACTTGTGGCAGCTAAGACAGATCGGAATCATCACTCCACTGCCATGAATTACTGTGCAGTACATGGGCAAGAACGTGGGTATTTTTAAAGTCTGTCTTTAAACCAAACTAAGTAAAAGAATGCCACAAGTGACCGTGATGAAGCAGGAGAATTATTTTTCTCAAAACTTGTTCAAAACTAAAATTTGGCCTAAGCATCTGGGTGGTGCTGCCCGTCTCTTCAAGAGCAAGGGAAATGAGCTGCTGCCTATAGAAGTATACAGTACGCCAAATAAATGTACTGTATGACTCATTAAGGTGCTTACCAGAATCTCTGCTTTTCCTGCCATTGGCTAATAGTGTACTGTACTAATATGATCCCCTCTGTGGAAATACTGCGCTCAGGAAATGCACGCCTTAAATTTTTCTTAACTTTAACCCATATTCTCAGGAGACAGGAGTTTCATCTCAACCTCTCCCGACCTAACTTTTCTTTCAAAAAGAAAAAAAAGTGGAAAAATGCCCCCTCTCAGAATTGAAACATGGAAGCAGCTCCCACCACCACCACCACCCCGTCCTGAGCGGGCTCCTCGAAAAAGTGGGGTGCCCCGTGGAGCGGCGCGGCCGGATGAAAAACGGCTGCCCTGATGTGCTTTGCGCTCTGTAAACCCCGCGCGGTGCCACATGTGCGAAGGCACCCTCTCTCTCCCCCCGGGTTAACCTAGACGGGAAGCATCCTCCAGCTTTCTGGCGGTCCCTTCTCGCCCGCCCGCCTTTCTCTTTACCTGTCGATGCTGATCACGCAGAGGGTCATGATGGAGGCGGTGCAGCACATCACGTCCATGGCGATGAACACATTGCAGAAGACGCCGCCGAAGATCCACTCGCCGCCGATGAGGTCCGTCACGCTGACAAAGGGCATGACGGCCACGGCCACCGACAGGTCGGCCAAGGCCAGCGAGACAATGAGATAGTTGGAGGGCTGCCGGAGCTTCTTGACGAAGCAGACGGAGATCACCACCAGGCAGTTGCCGGCGATGGTCAGCAGGGTGATGAGCGACAGGATGGCCCCGATCACCACTTTCTCCACGTTGCCGTAGCTCAGGATCTGCTCCCCGCACTGCGTGTCGTTGCCGGCGTCGCCCAC